GGAACTATTTTCCCCTCCAGGTAACGGGTTAATGGTTCACCATCCGGGTCAACGGTTTAACCCGTAGTTGGGTTATGGCCTTTAGATTAGGATCTTGAATATACTGCGTTAGATCTAGGTTTCCTGGGTTAGAAGGGAAAACAAGATGGAAAGAAAGGGAGGAAAGGTCTGTTTGGTAGATGGTATAAGGGGGAAAAAAGGGAGGGGAGAAAAATTCAAGCAGCCACAGCCGGTAGGCTGAAAGTAGCTCTCCTGCTCTCCGCTTAGAGAGATGTACCTAGAGAGTGAAGATCCATCTGTTCAGACTTTAGAGAGATCTCTACCGAAAAATACACACTTAGGGTCCGTTTAGTTCACAGTCAAAAGTGAAATCAGAATCGGATTCCTTTAGAATCAGAATTGGTTTGGTTTCGATTAAAATCAATAGGAATGGGATTTCATTCTCAAGGGAGGGGTAGAGAATGACCATTCCCTCAAATGGGATAATGCCATTCTAGTAGGAATGGAATGGGATTCCGATTCCGTTCAACCAAACAGTTGAACCATTTTGATTCTGATTCTAAACCTCTATTCCCGCAAACCAAACAGGACCTTCGTAGCTTCCCTTCGATTGTTGTAGAGGAATAGTGGTGGCACAATACAGATCTACGGTGGTCATAACTTGTAAAGCATTGATGGTAGCAAAAGGTCTCTAGCGCCAATGAATGGCACCACATAAAGTGGATTTGAGAAAAAAAAATGCAAAAGAATAAGAGGGAATAAGAAAATGAGTCAAAAGATTCAGGGTTAGCTCTTATATACATGGTTTGAATTATGACCCACCAACGGTTCAAACGGTTCACCGGTTTGACCATCCAGGTCAACAGTCTTGACCAAATTCAATTATTTTGTCAAGCACCAGGTTTAATGTGAAACAGACTCACTTTTTTGTCCGGTTGGTGGTTCAAACGGTCCAACCGGATGGGTTAGCGACAGTTTAAAAACTTTATGTTAAATCACAAGCTAGGGTTTGTGGAAACAGTCCGGTTGAGCTGGAGACAAAATTATACAGACCCGGCTGAACTACCTATCACCCTTGAACACACCAATGTTTACTATGGGCCCCATCTGGGACCCAGCTTACTGAACACTGGCGTCTCCAACGCGATAGATAATTCAGCCGGATGTGTATGTTTTTGTTTTCAGCTAATCCGCCCCATTGTGGAAAATGCAGCAATAAAGCCCTTCATTCTTTTTTTTTTTTTTGATAGAATAAAGCCCTTCATCTTTGATGAACAATACAAAACCTTCCAGAAGTATGGTTTATGTTGTTGACCCTCTACTTCAACTGGGAGCAACTACAGAAGAATAATGGCGTTTCTGTTTACAATATTCCAAAACACGAGCAGAAGAAGCAAAAGCTTGAGATAAAAAGAAACAGCTAAGGAGGTTTTCCTATGTGGATTTGTTTGGGACATGGTTTTGGCGTTCCGAATTAGGCTTCAGACTGAAACATGAGAAGTTATATTTAGTGAAAACCCAGAAAGCCCGAATCAGTGTTCTAAATACCACTTAAGCGACTAAAACATGAAGCTACTCTGAATGGCTTATCTAAAACATGGATGCTCAACATGAGCCTTTTCTTTGTAGTAGCTAAATCTAAATGCAGAAGCCCCTCTCAAACGGGCTTTTATTGCTTCATAGAATTGATCTTTTACGAAGATTAATTAAGCTGGTTAACCTTAGATGATTCAATGGGATATGTCTAAAAAAAAGAATAATTTCTAATTCCCATAACTTGAGAAAGAAAAACTTTTTTTTTTTTCGTTTAAGGCTCCATTATATTTGGCAAGAGTGTGAATACAAATATATATAGAATATAAATCCTTGTATTTTGTATTATTTTATATGTATTTGCACTGTACATATTTGTATTTATACTCTTTCAAACTGAGCCCAAGTATTAATTTGTATATTTTAATGGCAAATAACTTATAAATGTTGTGAAGAGAAATGGAAAGAAACAAAAAAAAAAAAATACAAATACTTGGCGTTTTATGCCTACATCCATGAAAATATCTTTGCAAAATACACTGTTCTCAATAATTAAAATATATGCCAAAAATATTGCTCTGTATATATATATATATATATATATATATATATATATATATATATATATATATTTCTTATTTCCTTTGACATTTTTAACATTGGACACCATACATCAATAAATTTTATGAATCAATCATACCATAACTTGGAGTAGGCCCTTTGACCGTTTGTAATATTTCAAAGAAAACACCATCGGTGTTAGAAAATAAAAACTTATTCAAAAACCTCACTTGACAGTTTAAACTTTTAGGTTAAATGGTAATTAAATTTCAACATAAGATATGGATGTTAGAGAATAAAAAACTTATCTAGAGACCTCACCAAATAGCTTAAGCTTTTAGGTTGAAAATTTCCTTGAGAAGAACAAGAGAACATTGTAAAGGTTCCACTGAACATTATCAAATACTGCGCTTACTATTCCCTACCTAGTTTTGGCAGTTCCTTGATCCTAAAACCCATTTCAATGATTTGATCAAGTTAGGAAAGAATGTCTTTTTTATCTCCAAATATTTATTTGGTGATTTTTATACAAAATGCTCATTTTTCATAACTTAAAAAGTACTCTTATCATAGCTTCAATTATCCATTGCCTTCCAATGCAGTTTTGGCTTTTTTACAAAATGTTTGCTATTAAACTCAAACAGGCGCACACACACACACACACACAGAAAGAGAGATGAACTATAAAATGGCTGACATTTTTGCTTGTTTAGGAGAACATGAGTAGGGGTGGCCACGAGGCGAGCTTTTCACGAGCTATTCAAGCTTAGTTCGTTAAAATTTTGGCTCGGATCGGTTTAAACCAAGTTTTGAGTTGAGCTCAAGCTTGAGATATAGGCTCATTTGCTAATCGAGCTGAGCTTGAGCCCAGTAAAACTCGACTCGTGAGGCTCACAAGCCTAATCGAGCCTAGTATAATAAATAAATAATTTTTATTACATATATACATACATATACATATATAAATATATATAATGAATAATTTTTATTATATATATAATAATATTTTATATATAATATTTTTATTTTTTATGTATAATAGTAATACTTTTTATAATTCTTATTTTTTGTATGTAAAATAAAAACATTTTTTATATGTATTTTTTTATTTTTTATATGTATAATAAATAATTTTTATAATTCTTAATTTTTGTATGTAAAATAAAAAAATATTTTTATATGTATAATTTTTACTTTTTAGGAAAAAACTTGGCTTACAGTTGAGCTCAAGCCGAGTTGAGCTCGAACTTGCGAGCTTTGAACTGAGCCGAGCTTAAGCTTGAGCTCGAACTCGAGCCAAATGCAGTTTCAGTGAGCCGAGCTCGAATAGCCAAGTATTTAGCTCGGTTCGTCTCGACTCTAATCCACCCCTAAATATGAGAAGTCGGCTCGACTCGAATCCACCCGTAAACATGAGAAGTCGAGTAGGAAGAGAAATTACACAATAAAACTCCTACAACGTGTAATAGGTTGAAAAATTAATCTTATATGATGCCTAAAAGCCCAATTGAAAAAGCAAAAGGGCAAGAAGAAATTTGAGCAATTGAACTCTTTAGGGGGTTTACAACATGGTTTGCTTTAGGGGTGTAAACAGTATTCGAAAATTTGATTTCGAATTCGATATTCGACATAATCGAATCGAATTCGGATAATTTGAATATCTAGTTGGTCAAATTCGGATATCCTATTCATACTGAATAGTTAATCGGATTCGAATTCAGATATGACCCAATTCGATTCGATAAATATCCGAATTTGACTGATTATTTAATTCGTATATATAATATAAAATATTTTATATAATTTATATATAATAATTAAGTTATATAAATAATTTATATATTTATATACTTTATATCAATAAAATATTTATTTTATATATTTATTAATTATCTAAAATAATTAATTAATCAAATTTGAGTCGAATCGAATATTTGGATATTTAATCGGATTCGAATTCGAATATTACCTAATCCGATTCGAATTCGATCCGTTTACACCCCTAGTTTGGTTTTTATTTTCAAAATAAAAACCAACCATGTTGTCGAACACTCCCTTAGTGTTCCATTTGAATGGTAACAAACTAGCTACTAGGTAGAGAAGTATGATTCAATAACATTCAATAAGTATAATGTTACTACAGGAAGTATAGCATCACAACATGTTAGTAGGGGTGTTAATTGGATTAGATTTGGTCTAATCCAATTTGGTCCAATATGAGTTTATTACAGATGGACCTGGCCTAATCTAATATGGTGAATACTCTGGGCCATTTTGGACCAGTCCAATTCAATGTATGGACCATTCAATCTGTTCAAATTGGTTTTAATTTACATTGGTTCCAATTCAAACCTGATCCATTAACACCTGTATTCTTATTTTCTACCAATGGACCAGACCAGATATCGATTCAATCCGACCTAATCCAATGGATGGATCAGGTCCAATCCAATCCAATAAATACTTTGGATCATTAAGTCTGGACCAATCCAATTCAATATGTATTATTGATCCATCCAATTTGTCCAAATTGATTTTGATTTGGACGGGGTCCAAACCAAAACTGGTACATTACATCCCTGCGTGTTAGATAGAATCATTATTGTATTGTTAAATTGTCAATTACATAATACTCCCAAGTCATAATATAGAATTGAAACCTTAGTGGTAGTGGTGCTATTTTATTACTCTTGCTGATGAGGTGAAGAAAAATAATGAAATACAAACCCAGCCCTCAAAAAGCCTAAAGAAACTTGGGGGAAACAGACATTACAACTACAAGTTATTCATACTCTCTTTCTGTCATGGAAACTCCAAAAGAACAAAAAGATAGAAAATTAAGGAAAAAAAAAAGACTAAATGGAGAAACAAATATAGTGCTAACAAATCAACATCTCAGGTTCCTCTCATGCAATAAGGAAAGGCAACAAAATAATCTGTACCTTAACTGTTAGGCAGCACCTGCATTATCAACAAAAAGAAGATAACAATAATTAATTAATTGGCATTTGAGAAAAACTTAGGGACATGAAATAAATAAAATAAGTAAACAAATTAAAAAAAAAAATCCTAACCTCTAATGTACCCCTAATAACTCGAAATCACAAACCAATATAAAAAACCCTTGAACTTGTATAGAGATTTGTTAGCCTCTGAACCAGGCGGGTCCAACTTGTATACATAATATTTCTCCAAGAGGGATGACTGGATGAATACCATAAATGATACTAATATGTCCAATGCAAATACAAGAATGTAGCACATGCAAATACCCATGCAAATTAATGTATTTGTATTTAAAATGAGAACAAATTGGATGCAAATTTTTGCACTCAAAGTCAGTCAATGTAAGAGTTGTAGATTCCAATTTCAGAATTCATGTTTAGGGCCATCACAACTAAAAATCGTTCGACAAAAGTATGAAATTATCGTTGGAAAACTAAATCAATTTTGCATTTTTATGAATCAAACATATTTGTATTTATACTATTGGAAATAAAAACATACTCAATGAAATTGTCGTATTCAATCGCCTTCATTTTACCGCCTTTCCTATCAAACTTAGCGACGAGCAAATCCAAGACCGTCGAAGAAACAGCAAACCCAAGGCTGAGAAGCGCCTCTCGCAGCTCTGAGGAGTCAATCTTCCCGCTTTGATCTCTGCCGAACCTTTGGAAGGTTGCCTGATTATGAAGATAATTAAGTAAACAACTTCAGAATTATAAGCAAAGATAAGTTCGATCTGGATATGAACTCAAATCGTTTTAAATTTCTAGCACCAAGCTCACTGCTCACCCTCCAGTTCTGAAGGCTATAAAACACTGTAGTGAACTCCTTTGGCCCTGCATTTGGTAGACAAAAAGCAAAAGATAAAAAATTTAGAACAGAAGTTCTAGCACCAACCCCGTCAACTTGACCCAAAGACAAATATGAAACGCAACGGTCGAAAACAGCTTACCAATCTTGTAGGTGTTGGTGCCGGGGAAGAAGTACATGAGGAGAAGAACGGTTCTGATGCTAAAGCTCTGGCTGTACGTAGAGAGTGCTCTCTGCAGCTCCTTATCGTCTATGAATCCACTACCGTCGTTGTCAGCGGCCTGGAAGCATGCCACCAGGGTTGGGTCCATCCCATGTGGGAAAGCCGATGGCATCAGAGCGGTAAACGGGTTAGCATATGGTGGTGGTGGCGCCACTGCCGGTGGGTATCCTCCTCCCGCTGCCATCGCATTGTTCTTGTCCTTGGGAGGCTTCTCGGTTGGCGCCCCACCGTAAGGAGCGGCCGGGGCGTATGGTTGTGTTGGTGGCGCACCGTAGGAGGCCGACCCGTATGGCTGGGGCTGGGGCGCTCCATAGCCGTACCCCGGTGGGTAACCTGCCATTATATCTGCAAGAGAAAGCTGCTGAGAGAGAGAGAGAGAGAGAAAGAGAGAGAGAGAGGCTTCTTACCGGCTATGGATTCTGAAACCTGGGAGGTCATGGATTTTTATAGCTTGTACTTTGCAGAATTATTTATTTTATTATTATTTTAAAATAATTTACTATCTTAACGTAATTCCCAGAATTGTGACTACCAAAAAATCCTAAAAATCATCATTATCCTATAAATCCATTCCGCCCGTGGATTTGAAATCGGATTCATCCCGTCTACGGTGAGGTTAAAGAATCTTGAACCGGACTGATCAATCATATAGAAAGATGTTCTCTGTATGTGACTAAGATGTATGTTGATAGACATGGGCAGAGTTTTTGTGGACAGAAATCTGGATTCATTGCAAGTAGTTTTTATTTATTTATTTATTTTAAATCAACCACGGTAGTTATTTCACGGTTTAAAGGTAGAGATATTGGAGGAGGAGATGAATCTGGGGAGGAAGGAGTGGAGGATGTTGAAGTAGTAGGGTTCTGTTCTTCGTCTTCACAATCACTTTTGTCTGTGTAGCCCATCCATGGAAGATTTAATGGGCAAATTACAGCTGAAGGAGAGAAGCCCCCTAAAAGGTGAAATAAGATTGATCCTTATTCCGCATGAGCTGAAAGATCATACAAAAACCAAATGTTAGGTTTGCTTAAAAGATATAGAGATAATGCAAATACATCTAAGAATGCTTGTGTCAAAAAAAAAAATAGAAATTTTAGCTCTACAGATGTTGTGTCCATCAAATACCTAGTAGCTAATGCAAATGAAAAATCCATGCTAGAAGGATGTAAATAAATCGTTGGATGTCAAAGCTAAAGATTTCCAGTTTTAGTTAGGCTTTTATTGAACAGAGAAAGAAAGAATCTAAATAAGCCTATCCAGTTTACTTTCTTTTTTTCAGTAGTAGAAGGGATCACAGAGCTAGCACTAAGAGGAATTGACATATACACCTCACAAATGCCCTACAGCATATCCCAATCATGTATTGGGAACATCTATTACTGACAACTTCTGAAAATATTCCTAATACACGCTGAAATGTGTATGTGGGGCATTTTTGGGGGCGAAGATGTAATCTCCACTAAGAGAGGACACAAACTGTCAATTCCAGATCCTTCCCCGACACAAGGATGGGAAAATTTTCTATTTAATTAACCAGAGAGAATTAATAGAAATCCAAGGAGCTGCCAGGAGAGGAGGAGGAATCCACAAACCGACTGACAAGGATGAAGAGTAAAATAAAACTTCAAATTTCTTTATTTGAAATTCACTTAAAGCCCTACTTTGTCAAACAAACCAAAAAATAAACCTAAATCAACATTAAAAACCCAGCAACCAAATTATCACACACCATCCACGTAAATATATCTTAGTCTATGTTTGGTTTGAAGGAAAAGGTAGGGAAAGGAAGGGAAATGTAGGGAGTGGCAATTGAGTGGTTTTGGATTGAACTTCAACTCAAACCGTATGAGAGAAGAGGAAATCAAGAAGAGTCAAGACTAGGGATGAGCAAATGGGTAGCTTCTACCTGGAATCGACCACATGAATCGGTCTTGGACCAACTCTACCCAACCTGTTATTGGTTTGGTTCAAAATTCTTGGAACCAATCCTCATTCAGGCCTATTTTAGGATATAGGGGTTTATCCTATATGAACCAATCCAGAGAACCAGTTTTAATTGGCCTTGGTGGAATCGGACTTGTAACCAAACTTCCCAAAATCCTTTGAGGATCTAAAGATTTGGACCTAAGCACTCATGGTTACAAAAACCATGGTCTCATTTGACCATTTAGTCATTCAAGTAATTTGATCATTTTTCTTCAATTTAATATTTAAATGTGTAAAATGATATAAAAGGTAATATTTATAAATTTTAAACTATAACGATAAGTTTCAAACTATATATTAATATATTATAATAATCTATAGATTAAATTAAAGAACTTAATCAATTTAGCCAATGAAGAGAATATAAGTTTTGAATATTATTATTATTATTATTAAAAATTAAGTTTTTAAAGAACAAATTCCATTTTTAGGGAGCTTAGATCTCATACAAGCAATTGCTCACATAACATCTAGCTTTACATTGGGAATATCTCCCATAATTTATGTTAAATTCATAAGGGATGTTCCCAATGTGAACTCCATGCTTTCACAGTGTATGCAGAATTTTTGCTTGTAGAGAATCCCATCACGTTTGGGGGTGGGGGGATAAAGAAAGAGCAAGTTTCATAGATATACCCTAGAATTGACCCTGGAGCCACTGAGGCCATAATCGCTTGGAACCAATCTTGAGAGGGTAGGTTTCGATTCCAAAAATCTAACTCCTACATGGTAGGTTGTCCAAGTTCTACCTTGGAGTTGAACCAAACCAACCCATGCTCATACATAGTTAAGAGATGGCCAATGGGGTGGGGGTGGGGGGTCAGGGAAGGTTTTGTAAATTCTAAACCCTAATTGCCTCCCTACACCTCCCAACCTGTACTCGCCATAAAACCTATAATGAGTTGGATTTTCAACCTTTCCCACAAATGAAAATTCAAAATCCTCCCAACCCTACCCTCCTTGGTAACATCTAATTTCCTATTATATATAAGCAATAAATAAGTAAAATAGTGGGAATAAACACCAAAATTTCCAATTATTTGATTAAAACATGTAGAAAACATATGAACTATTAATTATCCTTCACATAAAATTCAAAATATTATTAAGTTCAACACCTAATACATAAGTTCATGTGCCTTCCAACAATATGCGGGTTAGGGAAGGTTGGGTTAAGCATAATACCATCTCCTACCTTATTCATATGAGTTGTAAAATCTCAAAACCCATTCTACATCCAAATCTGCTTTTCAAGAAAATAACATGTTCCATTAGAGTGGAATCCCACTAGATAGGATAGAAATTGCCATCCCTAAGATAGCCTCACCCTTTCTTACCCAACCCACCCTAACCCTAATGGGTCACTTGATCCATATTGACTGCTATTTAAATGGATGAATTGGGTGTGTTGGGTCAAATGGGTTAGTTATAAAAATAAAATGGATTGGGATCAAAATTGTCTAACTCAATATCAAAGTATAATGCATTATTCTTTGTATTTATATTCTTTAGGTAAATTAGAGCCAACCACTTTGTACTTGAGCCTCGTTCGCTTTTGGGTAAGTTACTTACCTAGGTAAATGCATTTATCCATGTTTTCTTATTTTTCAGGTAAACAAAATAATGACCATTTTAGCCATTAAAATTCTATTATCAAAAGAGGCATTTTTGTCCCATTCAAGTGTTGGCATTTGACAACTTTCTCAATATGGAAAAAGTTAATTTATTCACCTAAGAGATGGACATCATTTACCTGGGTAAGTGATACCCAAGAAAATAAACTTTCCCTAGTCTCCACATAAATCTGAAAAAAAAAACATGAGATTTTTGATCAATGGAAAGCAAAATCCCATTGTCCAATTTTCCCCCTCTCAAAATCTCAAAAACAAACGCCCCCTTAAGAGCTTAAATGTCCCTCTAAATACTTTACCCCTCTTCTACCATAGAGTTTGTATTAAAAACAAGAGCGCCAGAGAGTAGAGTCAAAGATGAATTGGATTGAGATGTGAGAAATGTCAAACACTTACGTGATAAGCACGCAGTATTTGATGGGTCCTGCCTAGATCATTTTGTGCATTAGAATCAGTAAACTCAGATTATTAATTATGCACCGCAGTATTAGTTGATTGTTTGTAGAGTAGTCCTGATGGTTTTATGTATTTTTATTCTACTTAAAATAAAGATTAATTGAACTAGACGAAAAGCTTGCAAGAAAAGCCAATAGTGCAAAAGCACCCATTTCTACAGAAAATCCCAGACGGCCAGACCCATGAAAGCAGGACTGATGAAGTACTGTTTCACTTCACACCTTTGGGCTTTGGCATAGCTTTCCGGCCGGTGTTACTTTCGAGATAGGCAAAGCCAAATATTCTGTAATAAGAAAAGTTTCCAAGCCTGGCTTTAACGACTTTCCAGGTTTTTCGGCTCACGTAATACCAGAAGCGCTCTGCATCTGCATAAAAAACTTTACCAAACGGGCATTAAGAGATTGGTCATCTCTGAATTAGACCTCAATTAAGAGACTGAATACCCAAAGAAACCAATGTGGTCAGATGATTATTTATTTTTGCATGCAATGTGCTGCTTCCACAGTTCCAGTGCATGGTTATATATACAATATGCATGAAAACTAAATATATATGATTATGCATCCATCATTGAATTCACCTCAGACTCAGATAAGAGACTGACTCGGCACAATTCAACCCACTCCCACCACTGGATCTGGATGGACCTCATTGACTCATTAAAATGAAATCAACGCGTACCCACCATTGAAATGGACCTCAAAATGGGCTTGGCGTTATGTTAACACCGCGTGGGCTGTTGTACCAAGCTAGGAGCAATACTTTCGTAGCTCTTTGTATGTTGTTGATCTCATTTGATCTAGTCCCCATACAGAAATAAACCATGTACGGGACACACCAGTTTGGTCTAATACTTGAGACGAGACAAACGGTATTAGTTTCAACAACCACAAATCAGACATTCATTTATTCTTAATCAATTATCCTTCATTGATGATCTTAGAATAGTTCATTAGTTTATTATCAGGATCAACGTAATCTGATCAGCTATAAAAGTCCCTGACATCCCGTCATCCCCCACTCTTCAAAGCACAAAAGCCTCCACTTACAACTCGAACGGAGTGTCCTCTAAAGCTGCTCTCCCTATTCTTTCTCTGTGGAAAACAATGGCAGGATTTCCACCAGGAGCGCCTGGGTTCGGCTTCGGGGCGCCCCTGCCGCCCCAGGGCTCGGACCCCTTTGGTGGGTCTCCCTATATACATGGCCATTTGTTGCCAGGTGGCAAGCCTCCGAAGGACATGAACCACCACCACCACCTTGCGATGATGGGAATGGGAGGAGTATATCCACCGGCGGCATCACCTTCATCATGGCATGCTAACCCTTTTGCAGCTCTGTTGCCCTCGTCGTTCGCACCAGGGACGGACCCAACCCTGGTTGCGTGCTTTCAGATGGCCGACCATGACGGTAGTGGCTTCATAGACGATAAGGAGCTGCAGAGGGCACTCTCTACTTACAGCCATGCTTTCAGCCTCAGAACCGTCCGCCTCCTCATGTACCTCTTCACCGGCAGCAATATTTACAGGATCGGTGAGTCTTCTTTGAGCTAGCTTTCAGTTGCACCAGTCATCACTCTGTGACTTCTTCATGAATTCAGTACTGATCCATCTTTTTCTTTTCTTCTACTCATCAAATGCAGGACCCAAGGAATTCAATTTGGTGTTCTACAGCCTTCAGAACTGGAGGGTATGTATTATATTAGAGTTTAGTTAATTGATTATTATTTGATCAATCAACATTTAACAATTGTTTATTTAATTATCCCCCCACTGCATGCCACATGATATCAGGCCATCTTCCTCAAGTTCGACAGGGATAACAGTGGGAAGATCGACTCGTCAGAACTGCGAGAGGCGCTTCTGAGCCTTGGTTTCTCTGTTTCTCCATTTGTCTTGGATATGCTCGTCTCCAAGTACGACCGAACTGGTAGAAGGGCGATCGAATACGATAATTTCATCGAGTATGTTGAGTTTTTAATTTCATAGCCCATATGAGTCATTTAACTTTCCATGGTATTGCTTTAAGGCCTTGTTTGCTTTTTAATAAGTTACTTAGGGTAAATGAATTTATCTATGTTCTTTTATTTCTCAAGTAAATAAGATAATGGTAGTACAAGGGGTAATTTTGTCCCATTCAAGTGTTAGCAACTTTTTCCTTGGGAAAGTTATTTGCCCAGAAAAATAAACTTTTACTGATTCCAACATAAATCTGAAAAATGAACATAGAATTCTTGGTCAATAAAAACCAAAATCCCATTGACCAACTTTTCTTTTTTCTGAAAATCCAAAAAAAGAATGCCCCCCTGATCATTTACTAAGGGGGCGTTTGTCAAATCTTCTGGTGGCTTTTTAAAGTTTGGAAGACCAAAATTTTGGTCTTTCTCAGCAATAAAAGATAATAAGTCAAAAAGACCTATGCCTTGGAAAAAACTCATATAAGACCAAAATGGAAAAAATTCTGGAAGCTTCATTTAACAGTTTTGTAGACACTATGATACTTATCAAACAGTCTAGATTTTTAAGGACAAGACCCTAAAAAATCATTACATCTTTTAGTCTATAAAACTATTAAACAGAAGATTTTGGAAGCGGAAAGATGGATTCGGTTTTCTGTAAACTTTTTGACTTTTTATCTTTCATTGCCAAATTAAAAATGACCAGATTTTGATCTTTCGAGCTTTGAAAAGCACAAAAGACTGCACGAAAAGATTTTTCAAGCGCCACCTTTAAATTTTCAATAATAAATTACATACTTTTGCTACTATGCATGTAATTAACAAAATCAAACGGAGACTAAGCCTGACCGATCCGACTATCTCCGGTCAGCATTCAAACCAGCAGGTTCATCCTTGTTTAGAGACACTATAATAGTCATGGTTCTTTTCTTGGTTTGAAATTCTTATTTTTCTATTTGTTTACTTGTTTTCTGTGGCCCTCCACTAATTTTCTTGTCTTTTTTATTTTATTTCCAAACAGGTGCTGCCTAACGATTAAGGTAATACTAGTGGGAATAAGTTTGCTAATTTATGTTTTAATTCCTTTTTTCAGTTTAATTATCTATTTTCCTTAATTTATTGGATTTTATGTTAAAAAATTTATTTGTGATAATAATGTGCAGGGACTTACAGAAAAATTCAAGGAGAGAGACACCATGTTCAATGGTTCTGCAACTTTCACTTATGACATGTTCATGTTCTCCGTTTTGCCCTTCCTCATTGCATGAAAAAATATACTTGAATGGATGCTTGTTTTTTATGTGTGCTTAGATCAATTTTTTGTTTTTTTTTGTTTTTGATAAAAATGTGTGTTTCGTTTATTCTTTCCTTTTTTTTTTTGACCTTCTCTGGAAGGGCTTTAATTAGGGGAAGTCTGCGTTTGTATCTCAGTATTAGATCAAATTTGTTGAATTTGGCAATTGGCACAACATTCTACCTAAATGAAATACGAAGAATATCAATTCTATAGCATGGAAGCTTTAGGTGTCGTTTGGCAAGTTGTTTCAGAAAGATCTTCCAGCAGCTCAAATAGTTAGATGGCCAAAAGACATTTAGAGGTTCACTCTATTGGGCTTTTAAAAACATATTTAAAGGTTATATATCACACAGAAAGACTACAAAGCTTCATTTAAAGCTTTCCAAAATTCAACATTTTCAGTCTTTTCAAGCGTCTGTTTGACATCCTTGTCGTTGCTCCAAAAAATGCTGACACATCAATGTCACGTCGAAAAAGACGGTGTCCTAGGAAACACTTGTTTAATTGGAACCATTTTTCCATAAAAAGTGGTGCTCCAAGACACACCTTGGAAATCGAGGTGTGGTTTGGAGCAATGCCGAATTTTGCATTTCTAGAGCTGCAGCTCATTACTGCCAACAGGGTCATGACGTGGCACTGGATAATAGGTACCAATGCTGAAAACGTTTCCTAGAGCATTGGTACCAAACAGAAAACGTTGTTGTTGCTATAGGAAACGTCCTACCTGGCAGCAACGTTTACAAACAAAAAAAAAAAACCATTGTTTTCTCAGAAAACGGTTCTTTCAACCCATACATCAAAACTTTATCTCATACAAATCAGCACCCATTAATGACCCAAATTGGGTGGTGGCAAACGGTTAATGATTCAAATTGAGAATATGTAGAGTCCCCTGTTTTACTTTTTTTTACTATATGGTTCTCTTTGAAACTTTGAAAAAAAAAATGATAAAGGGTAAAAATGTTTTTATGGCCACAAGGTATATTTAAGCCTATTTGAAAAAAATCAAGGTAAGTTAATTTATAAAAACTTAGGGTATATTTAAGTCTTACCCTTATTTTTGTTGATTTAAAGACTACTTAAATTCCAATTAGAAGTAATTAAAATTAAATAGTTAGTAAAATTAATAAAAATTACTAATTTAAAATTTTGTTTTTATTAACTTAAAATCCATTTAAAATAATTGCATGAATAAAATTTTAAAATTAATTCTAAACTTTTATTAATAAACAAATTAAGAGACAATGATTAATACAAATTTATTAATTTTTAAAATTGATTTTTATTTGGCTAGGCATAACCCAAAAAATAATGCTTCAGTTGGAAACTAATTGCAAATTTAGCTGTGATTCATGCATGGCTATGCTCACAGAGTCACAGCACTAACAGTTTAGCTAAGTGCTCCATTCATTCTCTATTATCCTAATTGCTTGTTAAAATTTCTGAATAGATTTAAACTTGGAAAAGAAATATATCAAATTTATTGAATTGCCATAGCTTCCCAAGGATTGCATAGGTTTTTGGTTCTGATGATATGTGGGCCTTTTAGGTCTTAAGTGCAATGGCCAATATTGAAATGCCATACCTACTCAACCACTCTTCCATCATAGATATTGAGGTTAAAGAGGTGATCGCTTCAAATGATGGGAACATCCATCCTATGAAATATTTCTCACAGAAGAGATGGAAAGAACTTACAACTGTAGAAATATTTTCTAACACCATTCTACTTAGTGCCGCTCAACCGGACTTGTCAAAATTCCTCCTTTAATCAAACCCTCCTGAGAGTTGCCACCAAATACAGATTGTAGTTGTTGGCTCTCTTCCTCCCTCTTCTCAAAACAGTACGTACACAGTCATGCAGAGACGGTGAAAGCAAAATCAAGACCAACCAACAAAAATTAATCAAACTGGGTTTTAAATAGTACCAAATGACATCGATCGACCTTCTCCCATCGAGGTAGTTTTCACCATCTAGCCAGTTGGGTTTAAGGATCCCCGACCACTTCGAAATGGTAACTCCAGCAGTAGCACTCCTGGATGATGTTGAAGTTGCAGAGGATCGAGTGGAATTGGGTCTGTTACTCTGGTTGAGGGGTTCCTCTGGATGGGTGACGTTCAACCCAAGTCTTTGTTACTCGCGATGATGGGTGTTGCGGTTACAAGGTGTGACTGTGCCATCATCTTCCCTTGCGTTTCGTGGATAAAAGCCCCCTCCCCTCTCTTTCCTAAACATGCGCATTATTTTCCCCCTTAACTTACGCACGCTTTTGCTTCTTTTATTTCTTTCCCTCTCAAGTCTCTAGTCTCAACTCTCAATAATGGGCGAAGTCGATCACAGTTTCTGCAGCAGAAACAGCAACAGCAATTCCACCAACCCACCCCTCCACATCGCCGTAATGGCGTTCCCGTTCGGCACCCACGCGGCTCCTCTCCTCAACATCACGCGCAGGTTAGCGGCGGCCGCCCCTGAGGCAACGTTCTCATTCTTCAGCACGGCGAAGTCGAACCGTTCCGTCTTCTCATCCAGCGGAGATGCTCTACTACTACGACAACATAACGTGAAAGCCTATGATATTACAGACGGAATTCCCGATGGCTACCACTTTACGGGGAGACCTCAGGAGAGTATAGAGCTATTCCTGGAGGCAACGCCGGGAAACTTCAAGGAGGGGTTCGAAGAGGCGGTAGCGGAGATGGGGAAGAAGACCACCTGCGTGTTGAGCGACGCTTTCCTGTGGTGCGCGGCTGTCATGGCGGACGAGCTTCGGCGTCCCGTGGGTTCCCATTTGGTTGTCTGCGCTTTGCTCTCTGTCCACCCACCTCCACACTGATCTCATCCGCCACAGGATTGGCGTTAGCCCCAACGGTATGTTAGCAAGTAACCGGCTGCAGTGCAATTCGATCAATTTAGGGCTTGTTTGGTCTGTGGTTGAATTCTGTAGAGTGTGTTAGGCACAATAAAATGATATATTGTACATCATGGTGTGTTTTTAATAGGATAAAATGTGGTGATGCGTGATACATATGTAACATAAATTGGAGCCATACCCATTATTGATCATGCATCCATACATATTAATTTATACAAACAAAACATCATAATAAAAATAATTACTAAATGTAGTAAAAATAATTATTAAAAAAATATTAAAAGTTATAAAAAACTAATTTAAGTAAATTTAATATATAGATATATAATATGAGGAAATCTAATATATATTGGTGTCGTTAGGCTAGTATGAGAGTTTGTGTTTCAGAATCAGCCTTAGCTCGTTTTGGAATGAGCCACACCCCTAAATGAAATTGTTTTTTGAACGAGTTTAAACATGATAAAACCATGCTGCTGAACACTGCCTTATATTAGATCTATTCACATGTCAAACTGGGTTTGGAATCGAGCCACACTTTGCCTCTTTGTTAACAAACCACATTTAGGTCCGAGCCCGAACCCAGTCCTACTATAGGTGTAGATATTGAGATTGAGCCCAACTCCTATATAAAGCCCAAAGCTCGACGTAGAAATTAGTTAAGAAAAAATTTTATTATTTTTATTGAAAATAAAGTTGATTTATTTGTATTAAACTGCAACAAACTCAAAAATACTGCAAAAATCTCACTATGATTTAGAAAAAAATAGGAACAAAAAAATATATTTTGTATTATGTATTATCAAGTTGGACTTGAGCTTGTGCCTAACTTGTTCGAAAAAGCTCGAGCCTGGCCCAAAAAAAGTGCCCGAACCCAAGCCAACAGGTCTAAAAAGTTATATCGAAACCCAAGAAATAATGGGTCGAGCTGGGTCGGCCTAATGGGCTAGTTTACTCTAAACCGTTGAACGTTGATGAACCGGTTCCTTGAAAGAGTTTAACCATCTGGTTATGTTTTGATGTGAGCACAGGTATTGCTGAGCGTAAGGATGAGCTACTTGATTTTATACCCGGGATGTCCAAACATCGTCTCTGGGATTTGCAAGAAGGGATACTCATCGGAAACCTAGAATCACCCTTCTACCGGATGTTACATCGAATGGGTCAGATGCTTTCACGTGCCGCGGCGGTTTTCATCAACTCTTTTGAAGAGATGGAGCCTGCTACCATGGAGCATATGAGGTCAAAGTTGAAAATAAGTCTCACTGTGGGGCCGATTACCATCTTGGCCCCACCTCCATCCGGTCCAGGCAAGACCGGCTGCCTAGCGTGGCTGGACCGCCAAAAGCCGTGCTCCATGGTTTATGTGGGCTTTGGCTCAGTGGTCACACCTCGGCCTCCTGAGCTAATTGCCCTTGCAGAAGGGTTAGAGGCGAGTGGTGGTGCACCATTTCTGTGGTCCCTCAGAGACGACGTGAAGGCGCAGTTGCCAGTTAGGCTTGTAGAATTAACACAGGAGAGGGGAATGCTGGTTTTATGGGTCCCACAGAGGTGTGTGCTGGACCATCCGGTCGCCGTGTTAATAACGCATGGTGGATGGAATTCAGTTGTGGAGAGTATATCCAGTGGGGTGCCGCTGATCAGCCGTCCATTTTTTGGAGATCAGAAGATGAACGCACGATTGGTATCCGGAGTATGGGGGATTGGGGTAACAATTAGGGCTGGGGTCTTTACCAGGGAGGGTGTGATGGACGCTCTGGATTTGGTTTTGTCAAAGGATGAAGGAAAGAAAATGAGGGAGAAAGGTGGGACTCTACGAGAGCTTGCAAGAAAAGCATTTGGACCGGAAGGGAGCACTACACTACACTTCACTACTTTATTGGAGACAGTTTGCAGAAGATAAAGGGGCAGACTGAGCAGTATATTATACTTGCACTCTTCAATCAATCATTTAACACTCTTGCAAAATGCAAATACAAGGTTTTTGCACTGAACAAGTACATTAAGGGAGCCTTTGGTTTAATTTGCATTGCAAATTTTATACTGTTGTAAATGCATAGGACTGCAAATTCTTCCTCACTTTATGAGAAATAAATAAGTAGAACGAAACAAATAAATAATCTCCATTTTGTATTTGAAGTTAATGGACCTGACTTTATTTTTATT